CTCTTCCCTTAACGTATTTCTTATCGCAATTCATCTCCAATCTCGTAGTGTGCCAATTTCGGTCCTACAATACTAAGATAAATCGAGGGAAGTTGAGAAAGTGATCTTGTACTTGTAGTTTTTACATGCCCTTATGCACGTGCTAGTGGTGGAGCTCTAGGTATCGCCCCAACGCTTTTACAACAACGCTCCACTTAGAGCTCCACCACTAGCACGTGCACAAACCATTTGTGGATTGTTTGAAAAATAAAACAAGAGACTCATATAGAGGTTTGTCAAAGGTGTTAGACCGCTAGATGATTGGGTCATGTAATGTGAGACTCACATATACTTAAATAAACACACGTTTCTTCTCATATACATATAGAACCCCAAGCTCATTCGATATAATTGATCTCATTGTTCTCTATTTGATTCTACCTGGGATCTTACAACAACGTGTGCATAGAGATCATCTTCTTATGCTATAATTTATTAGTAACTTCTATTTTCACACTTTTAGGTAGGGACGTTAATTCATCAATGTTCAAGGAGGCTTTTTCAAGGCCTATTTCCTTGGATACCTAATCTCTCTTCATTCATCGTATGTTGGGTACCTTGAAGAAGAAGCAATTAACTCTTACCCTGAATTCCTCAAGGAGCTCGACAAAGGTGACATCGAAAACGTTCATGCTCTTGCCATTGCCATTGATTACTGGAGGCTACCCACATATGCAACATTTTGAGACGTCATTATTGTGGTTCGTGACGATTAGGCTCACCACCGTGAAGTCAACCATTTTGCAAGAATTCAAACTCTGCAAGGGTATTTGTTCCTCTTCTCTGTTTTGGAAAGATTACAAACTCAAAACACATCTTCTGTTACTGGTGAAAATTTTCAATTTACTTTCATGATTCACTACCAAGTCGTGAGCTAAAGGAAGCTCCAATTCCTATTGGACATCATTGATTTATATGAGTTTAAAACTTTGTTCTAAAAGGATTTTAAAAAGGTATTTGCATCTTCGTCTTTCGCTTTGTATTCACCTCTCTTACTCAAGCCATCGTCAATGTTCGTAAACATCTAATATAATATCTCATATGTAAGGGGAAAAAACTATGCTTTTCAGGAGATGTTGGATTGGGCTGAGATCGCAAAGGAGTTGCCACCGATTGATGACGTGCTCTGAAAGTTAGAAAGGTGCAACTGTGAGGCTTTCTCCCATATTGCATCTTCATAAATCTTTAGAAGAGACTTGATAGAGAGAGAGAGCTCTTATTGTTTGTTTGTGCTTACATGTCCATGAGGTT